ATTCTGGGAGTTGAAGTCCACTCATCTTAAAGTGGCCAAGTTTGGACAACACTGCCCTTAGAGCAACCATCAGATGGCTTCAAAATGTTGAATGTTTCTGTCGACTGAAAAAGGTTGCCTCCTGCTTACATGGAACACCAAGCAATGCCCTCAAGAACGATCTTCTCCTTCTTGCAGCATTTTCTTATAGAGACTGGAATAATTTTTGTGACCCTTTGTCCAGCCGGATGGTAGAATGCATCCTTTTTCAGTTAGAGTCAAGGAACAACTTCATTAGTTTGGCTAGTGGCAAATGTTTCTTTTGTGACTGGCCACACATGAGGGCATCCATTTTGGGAATTGGCAAACAATTCCTATGCCACCCATTTTGTCCAATCACCTGCAACCCACCAACGAAATCCTAAATATACTCACTGGCTCCCCCAGGTAGCCTCCCCCTGCTCTAGAAGGTTTTTAAAATCTCCCTCTTCCTTTTAAGACTTCACCAATCTATTTTTAACCGTTCTAATTTGATCTGATCTGATCCAAGAAAATCACTGTTCTGCAGCAACACTTTCTGTGTCAACCTATCCTTTTGCTCTCGCTGCCACCATCGCTCTCGGAAGATGGTGAGGGGCTAGAATTGAACTGAAGCAAGAAGAACAGAAAGAAACCTCATCAATGTCATTGTTCCCTGGAGTTCTAAGATCAAATGCAAACAGAGCAAAAAGGGCAGAGGAGGAGCAAAAGAAGTTGCACAAGGTTTCCCAGCACAATGGCTACTCACAGAACATGCTCCTTCAAGGCCACTTTTAATTAATGCTGTTCCAAAAATCCCTTCTATATTTTTACCATTCTTACACTTTTTAATGAGGATGAGTGCTTCCCACCTGCCCACCCCCAAAGGGGGGGGGGACATTTGGTTGGGATGCACAGGTCTTGCATTTATTTTAGTTATTAGGGAGTCAAAAGATGGGTATCAGTGCTCCTCTTTCACTGTTCAATTGTCTCTTTAATGCAGTGTTTCTCAACCTTGGCAGCTTTTCTTTTTGGTGGAAGTGCCCCCCACCCAAACAACA